TTATCTCTGATTTCTCTTTCTTCTTTTATAGACACTTCGGTTTGGCCTCCTGTAGCAGTAATTTTACCCGAATGCAACTTGAAAGGTAATGACTCATCAGCTATTTACTTGTACTGCCACTGTAAAGTACTTTTGGGCTGATTAGCTGGCTGGTCTATACCACTTGGTCTCTAGGCAGGTGAGCAAGTGGTGTAAATGATCTGCATCTAGTCGGGAAAGGCCTTTTCTGCCTTCTGGGTTTTAGCTGGGCTTCGGGTTTTCCCTTTTTTCAGACCTCCTTTTGGGCCAACTCCAGCTTGAGCCCAAAGTTCAAGTTTTAACCCAAACAGTGAGGAGTCTACCCGTGGTGTTAACCTCATCCAACTTAACAAGGTTTGGCCAGAAAGCTCGAGAAAAATCCTTCAACTCGCCAGGTATGGATATTGTTAGTTTGTCTATTTGAACTTCACAAATGTGAAGCCACTCTTCCCATGCAAGGTCATAAATGGAACCAGAACAACAAAAGGAATTGAAAGAGGGTAGTCTCGGGCCTTACCTCGACGGAGAACTTGAGAATCTCACTGAATTTTTTCTCGGATTGGGAATGAAGGTCGTGGTTCCTCAGGTCTGGGTTCAAGCTCGAGGGTTTTGCTCATGCTGCTAGGTTCAGGAAGAAGATAGGGAATGAGTTGTAGTGGTTTAATGGTGGTGAGGCTCGTCGGAGTGGCAAGTTAGGTGGTGGTGGTGGTCTCAATGTTTAGGGAACTAGATAGGGATAAGGCGAATGCGTAGAGATAAGAGATAGTGACAAGTGAAAGGAGATGAGTGACTCGAGGACAGGGAGAGCTAAGAGAAGATAGAGGCTTAGTGGGTCCCACTGGATAAAAAACCAAGCAGTTTAGAATAAGGTCTAAGAAAATATCTATAAGATTAAAATTACTAAAATGCCCTTGAACTTTGGAGTTTCATATAATCTTTATTTTAACTCTGAATTCCGTTCCACTTGTGCTCTCGCGTTCATGTCATTGAGTACTATAAGAACATGCTAATTTGATAAGTCATAGGTGTCACGACTGAAAAGGTCAATCGAAGTCAACACATTCCCCTTCTAGGGGCATTTTGGTCATTTCCTGCCTTCGAAAATTATACTATAATTTCTGGAGCGGACTGTAACATTAACTACAATTTTTTTTATTAATTTTTCTAGTGAGGGTGTTGATTATGTTCCTTAGAAATTTAAGATTAAATAGTGAGTGATGACTCACAACTTCTATAGTAGAACACTTGTAATTTTACATCAAAAATCTAATTTTCACCTTCCTCTTTTTGGGTTTTAGACCTCATTTGAATCCTTAACAAAGAGGGTTATGACCTTGACACCACTTTTAGCCAAATGCCCTCCAAATTAAAACGAAAAAAAAAATCAATATTCTTAATTTTTTTTCACTAAAAAAAAGAGAGAGAAGGAAGCCTACCGTGCTTTTTGTGATGAACACCAAGTAACATGAACTGGCTGTGAAAAAGACTCTACAGAAGTACAACTCCATGTTCCAATTGATGAATAACTAGAGGGAACAAAGACATTATTCTTTGTATAATGACCATGTTCCCTTCTATTCCTTTCCCCAATTTTTTGGTACAAATAAATATGATGAAAATGTACAACATCAAAATATGAGAACTTGTATGGCAGAAGTACACAGTCATAGTGGCGCCCCATGCTAATAATACTAGGCATGTTAAGTTTTTCTAAACCTGTCTTTGTATCAAAGTTTCTTTTCACGTGTCCTTGTATCATTGACACAGGACGCCATAATAATAGTATACCTGTGGAATATAAGTTGTTCTCCTAAAATACAGACGGTGTTCTTTGTCAACTGGCTCAGGGTTGGTAGGGACATTATCGAGGCATTAAGAGTTTGGAAAAAATTTAGACTAACCTAGATATGTTAGGCCATCTCCAACTGATTCGGCCAGAGGGCCATAAGGCCGAGAATAGCCCGAAATGACACAAAAACCGACTTCAATAGCGGGCTAGGCCAAAGGGCTCGTGGGCCCCACTAGGCCAAAAAAGAAGAAATGAGCCAATCGGCTGGCCTAAACCAACTAGCCAGCCAGCCAGCCCGGGCCAGTCCAGGATTTTGAATTCCAACGGCTACTAACTGACGTCAGCTAGCCGTTACATTTGAATTATTATTTTTTTTTACAAATTTTTTTTAAATTTTTTTAAATTCTATTTTTTTCCCTATAACTACATAAGTCATGAAACAACATTAAATAACATTAAGTAAACTTAAACAACATTAAACAATATTAAACAACATTAAATAACATAAAACTTAAACAACATTAAAAAAAACATTTAACAACATAAAATTTAAACAACATTTAACAACACAAAACTTAAACAACGTGTAAAGTAAATCACCTTTGGGCGTCATCCATAGGGTTTGGAATTGCTTGGACAAGTGTCGCCCTCTTTAGGTAAATGTCATCTGCCAAGTAATACCCCATATTGTACTGACGGTCATTGATGTAGCAGTCAAGTTAAGGTGATTTACCCTCTGTCAGGTTATTAAAGAGGAGTGAACGCCCAAGAATTGTAATGTCATTTTGGGATCCAGGGACTCTAAAGAAAGCATGCCAGATCCATGTGTCAAACAAGGCAACCGCCTCTAACATAATAGTTGGCTTTCTCGACCTTCCGCTAAAGCCTCATTGCCATCCAATGGGACAGTTCTTCCATTGCCAATGCATGCAATCTAATGACCCTATCATGCTCGGAAAGCCATGGTCTTCAGCTCTGCAAAGGAGCTGATCCAAATCTTCTTGATTTGGTTCACAGAGGTACTCCTTTTTGTAAAGTTGAACAATTGTGTCACAGAATTCAGGAAGAGTATCAAGACATGTAGACTCAAAATACCATATGTATCATCCATCGCATCAACTGGGGAGGCATAGGCCATCATTCGGAGTGGCACTCGAAATCTGAGATGTAAAATTATTGAGATTCCTTATCGACAAGAAATCTGCAAAGTTATCTACGCGTGTCACTTGAAATCCTATCCGAAAAATTATTGAGATTACATCTTGAAAAAGTATTGAGGTAGTTTAATTTAAGTAACCATATTAATAGTTTAATTTAAGTAACCATGTTAATTCAATTAAAATAATAAATTATGTTTGGCCTATGACCCTTTGGCCCCTTGGTTAGAGATGATTTTTTGTTACAGGGCTATGTTTGGCTTATGACCCTTTGGCCCATCGGTTGGAGATGGTAAGAAATATGGCATGACACTGTTCATTAAAATATTAATTTCTTGGAGTACTATAGAGTTAAAACGAGCTCTCTAACCCTTCTTCAGTTGAAGATGACCTTAAATAAAAAAGCAGATTAGATAAAGGTACAACATTAAGTCCTAATTAGTAAACACCCTCCGGCAAACCCTAATCTGTAATTCTTTCAGGTTCTTCTTGTCGAAAAGCTACCTAAAATTAAGGCCAAAGTTATTGATCCATGAAATCAAGTACTCATTGTATCCACCTTTTACCTTTCCTAACTAATTATCCTTTGCGTGTTCCAAAAAAAAAAAAAAAAAAAAAACTAATTATGCTTTGCACATGTTTAGATCTCTAATGGAAGGAAAAGAAATTTATTAGGGACTTTCCTGCTAAGTGGTAAGTTTAGTATGACAAGCGTTGTTCAGTTAAAACGTATCATGTACGACAATCTTTTACTTATAACTAGAATTCTATGCACAAGACAAATTTTTAAAAGGAAAACTAATGAAAATGGCTTGAAAATTTTGAGTTTTAATGATAAGGACAAAATAAAGAGTAAAATGAATAGTACCAGGATTGACTTTTTAGTGTAAAAATGTGGTTTTTCGTTAAAGTGAACAGTACCTGATGCTTTTCGTTAAAATTTCCATTTTTAAATGGACACTACTTACCACTCAACTTTATCACATAACAATAGATTAAAAGTACATTGAAGTTAGAAATGAAGGTCAACTTTTGGAAATTTGTCCAAATTAGAGAGAAGATGATATAGTGACTGATCAATCTAGCTCATTCAACTTGACATAATTGGGTAGTTGACTTTCATTTCTTGCTTCAACATACTTGGCCGAACACACTAGACACCCCATCAGATCAGATCAGATCAGATCAAATTAAGAGAGTTTTGGATTTGATTGCTCTCAAGCCCAACTTCAGCTTCATGACCCATAACCATCAAACCTTGTACAGGGAACATGCAACACGTTCTGGGAACTACTATTTTGGGGCCACCTTTTGTAGCAATATACTGGTTGTTCCATATGGAAAAAGTGTTGGGAGGTCAGTTGTGTCTACACTACTCATCACGTGATAATCATGACCTCACACTATATGAATTCTTATTTGTAAAAATCTATTCGTGTTTACAAACAAATTATGCTGATATTTGCACATCATTTTTTTGTTGTTGATGTTTTAACGAGTACTCTTTGCAATGAGTCATACAACGCTCATTTTCGTCGTCCTTCATATGCAGTTCATATAATCAGTGAGTATGAAAGCGAACTTCTGCATACGTGTATGTGGTATGTAAGAAATTGTCCAGCAATGCATGTGAGAGTCCGTGAAAGTAAGGTCATGGTGCCAAGGACTTCCCAACCAACACATGCATTTCAAGATCACTGCAATTGAGTCAGCAAAAAAGTTCAAAAAGTACTACAATTTTGCCAACTGATTGCCATGTTGGCAAAAATTTATTATATATAGACAAAGAAGTTAGGATGCGATCACGTCGATCACATCAAGTTATCAGATTTTCACTTTTATCCCTGAAATACCAAGCAAAGGTGGTAATGCAGGAAATCGAATAACAAAAAACCCAAATCAGTCTACACATTTCACCCGATATTATCTTCATATCATGCAATTAGCAGTTATAAGATACTTTACCTTATTGTGTTTTGCACGGTAAATGAATAGATTGTAGAAGCAAAAATGGGAGAGCCCCAAGTATAAATACCCACGACCACCTTGAACAATCCTTATCAAGAATGTCTGAGTTCTCACTTCACATGAATATGGCCCCTCTCATGGAGCAATATTCTAGACGCGGCATGATCTGCAACATTGGGAAGCCGAAAAAGAATGGGTCGCATGTGAAGTGGAGGCTTGCCGGAGGTGGTGAAAAAAAGCCACCCCGGGATGTCCCTCCCGGTCACTTGGCTGTAGTAGTAGGGGAAGCTAGAAGAAGGTTCATTGTAAGAGCGGGTTTTCTGAACCACCCAGTTCTACGCCAACTGCTAGATCGAGCATATGAAGAGTATGGTCATGATAGCCCTGGCCCTTTAGCTATACCATGTGACGAGTTTCTGTTTGAAGATTTAGTTCACTCTCTTGGAGGTAGAACAATCAGCAATCAGTTCTCCTGCCCCTTCATGGCTTTCTGAGAAGTTTATCACACTAGACAGATTATTACAGCAGTGGTGGAAGCGGCAGCAACAGTTATCTGCGATCGCTATTATTTCTATCTCCATAGAAATACCATTATACCAAGCAAGCAGTAGATAGAAAGGTGCTAAATTAAAGAACTGCATTAAGCATTTTGAGAGACTTGTTGAAAAAAATATATGCATTATGCGGGCCGTTTTCATTTAGTAGCAGGTGAAGATGCAATGTCTTGTGTATAGGGAATAAAAAGTATGAGTTTTAACAATTATCCTTGCATATATTGTAAAACCATTTTGTGAATGACAATGAATTATGCGAGAATAAATGAGGGAATGATTGACTTAGCAATCAAGTTAATTAAATTTCTAGGATTCCGGTGCCTTAAGAAAATAAACATATTGAAGTCCTAATTAAATGTGATCAATTATGGACCTTTATTAAGTAAATACAAGGAATAAGAGTCATGATGGAACTTTAAGATATCGTTTGGATGTGCTTTTAAAATGACTGAAAACGCTTTTGGTGAAAATATTTTTGGAACCAATCCTTAGTAAAAATACAAGTAAATTCTAGAAAAACAATTAAAGTGCTTCCTGGAAGAAGTACATAACTGGTGCTTCTTGCAGAAAACACTTTAAGTGCTTTTGGAATTAAAAAACATTTTTCTCTAAAAGCACTTTTAGTCATTTTAAAAGTACATCCAAACGAGCCCTAATTGATTAGATATGATTTGGGTTGATATCCTTTCCGATAATAGGAAGGAATTGGTTGAAACCCTAGCTATATAACCTAAGAATAGTCCTTGCTTCCATACCAGCTGAAACTCATGAAAACTACAAGCCTATTTCAATAGTAGAGTTCATTAAGAGATACTGGAAGTAGAGAAGACTACTTCTACTATGTTGCAAGGATCAATGGCTTTATCTTCATAACCATGTGTTCCGTATTTTACAGATAAATTTAATATAATTAGTCAATCTATATTTTATATTGATTTGATTTATTCGTGATCCTAATATCTTGTTGTTGTGATTTCAGAATATGTCTTACATGTGGTATCAGAGCCACACAACAAGCTTAGGGTTCAGATTAAAGGTAATTGTTTGATTACATAATATTGTTTTTCTATCCTATGAAATCAGTTAACATGCTTCCGCGATTCTGAATTATGTATCAATTAAATTTTTGTAAGTTTATTATGTTTATATTTTACGGAAAAATAAAAGTATATACTTATATATATAATCAAAGTCACTATTGTTCTAGTACTTCACCGTTAAAAGAAAACTTCTTTTCGAATTGCAATATGACATGGTTCTTTTCGAATTGCATGATATTTTGTAAACTAAGAGCAGGTTTTGATGGCATTTGACCAAACCTAATGTTGGATGATATTTGGATTTATTATATAATCCTCTTATTATCGATTTAGTTGCGATAATTCTATTTCATTATTATTAAAAAAAAAAGAAGGTGAGATAAGGCGTTGAAACAGTACGGGGTCTTCTCTCTTCCGTGTGAAGTCTTTAGAAATCAACCTTTATTTTCTTATTTATTTCTCCATCTCAAAATTGATTGAGTTGAGAATTTACACTTCCGCTTATTGCATTGCAAAATCTAGCCTTTAAAAAAAAATTTAATTTTTGGTTAGTTTGCTTATATTTTGTACTGTTCTCTATTACGATTCTGCCAAATTATTAAATTAATCCTTGCAAATGTGAGTTTTCTGGACGAATATTGTATTGGATTTCATGCTTTCATTATTTAAATTTTGGATTTAGCATTGTTAATTAATATGTTCTAAAAGGCATTCCCAATTTGTTTGTTTTTTTGATGAACCAATAATGGTGAAACTATTTGGCAACTTACATATATATAAACAAATTATTGTATTATGAAGGATTGCTTGCTGTACATAATTTTGATGTGTGGTTAATTACATTATTATGAATTGCTTTTAGTCGGTTCGTATTGGGGTTTTCAATTTTTTAATAAATTGATTCAATTGTGGTGTGAATTATTTCTTGCCTAAACTTTTGTCAAAATTAATGTGACATCCCACATCGCTCAAAGGAGTGATCCTTAAATGTATATTCACATCCCTATCTAGCACGAGGCATTTTGGGAGCTCACTGGCTTCGGGTTCTGTTGGAACTCCGAAGTTAAGCGAGAAGGTGGCCAGAGCACTTCCATGATGAGTGACCCACTGGGAAGTTACTCGTGAGTTCCTAGAAACAAAACCGTGATGGCATGATTGGGGCCCAAAGCAGACAATATTGTGCTGCAGTGGTGGAACGGGCCCCAGATGTGGTGGACCTTAGGCCGGGATGTGATAAAATGGTATAAGAGCCAATACCTGGCTGGAAGTGTGCCGACGAAGACGTTGGGCCCCTAAGGGGGTGGATTGTGACATCCCACATCGCCCAGAGGAGTGATCCTTAAATGTATATTTCCATCCCCACCTAGCATGAGGCCTTTTAGGAGCTCACTAGCTTCGAGTTCCGTTGGAACTCCGAAGTTAAGCGACAAGGTGGCCAGAGCACTCCCATGACGGGTGACCCACTGGGAAGTTGCCCGTGAGTTCCCAGAAACAAAACCGTGAGGGCGTGATCAGGGCCCAAAGCGGACAATATCGTGCTACGGTGGTGGAACGGGCTCGGGATGTGGTGGACCTCGGGCGGCGAGAAGGAGGCCAAAGCACTCTCAGGATGGGTGACCCACTGGTGAGTTGCTCGTGAGTTCCCAAAAACAAAACTGTGAGGGAATGGTAAGACCAAAGGGGAAAATATCGTGCTACGGTGGTAGAGCGGGCCTGGGATGTGGTGGACCCTGGGCCGGGATGTGACAAATAATCATGCTAAATTATAGTCTTTTCAAACTATAATATTATAGGGGTATGACTCCATTAAAGTCTCATTAAAAGGAAACCCATTCATGGCAATGACCTAGGCTTGATAGACTTCCATAACTCCAAATATTATGAAATTCGGTCATGTCATAATATTAAATGGATTGTAGACGCTGATATTTTTTCACCTTTTTTTTTTTTACAAGAAATGGATTTATGGTAAACTTTTAAGTGTGATACTGTGTTGCTGGAATTATGCAGACTTTTGCAGAATAATCTGTTTGTGATATTATTTTGATATATCAATGTAACTCATAAATTCATGAAATTTTAGTATGATATACATTGCAATGTTTGTTTTAAATATGAAAATTTTCACAAGCATTGGTTTGAATGAATTATTGGTGAGTTTTTAATCTCGAGACTGTACTACAGAATTTATGCAGTTTCTGTAACACATTCCATTTAGATTTTATTTTTAGCCCACTTGTAAAATCGAACAAATTATGGAATTTTGAGTGACAGTAAATTTATATGTCTACTTAATTTCTAGAAATTTTCATGCACATTGGAGGAAGATTGAACTTTTGGTGAATTGTTTAGTCTCCAATATGTATTGCAGAATTTTTGCCGTTTTTGCAGCACATCTCATTTCTAATTTTCTTTTAGTACACTTGTAAAGTCTAAAAAATTATGAAATTTTGCGAATTAACATATTTTTATGTTTACTTTATGTCTGAAAATGTTCATGCATATCGGATAAACAATTAATATTTGGTGAATTTGTAATCTTAGGTCTGTACTGAACATTTTCTGTAGTTTCTAAAGCACCTCTCTTTTCGAATTCATTTTTGGCTAGCTTAAAATTTTTAAAAATCATGAAATTTTGCGAAATAGTAGCCATATATGTCTAGTGCATACCTAAAAAAATTTCATGACAATTGAAAGAGAATTGACTTTTTAGTGATTTTGCAAACTAAAGTAGGACTGCTGAATTTTGGTACTTCAAAACTAGTTTTGTTATGTGATATTGTTTCACTGATTTGTGCACATCTATTGGTACCAAATATTATACAAGTTTATGGTTCCAATATTTCCTTATTTTATGCAAATTCTCAATACTAATGAATTTTATAGACAACATTGATTAAATTTTGATTTAAAGATGTATTGGTTTGTTTTGCTTAAACCAATGTTTTGTTTGGTCATCAATTCTGATTATGATGATAATTGTCTTTTGAGAGAAAATTGGAAAGTGGCATCAGTTTACTAATTGATTATTTTGGTCCCTATCAAATAACTGAATAGCCATGTTTCCTCTTTCGAGAACTCTATTGTTCAATGTCAACAACGACATACTTTTGTGTTTGATTGAATATTTTGAGAATTGTTGAATATCCAACAAAACGGTTATTTAATAATGTTCTAAAAGATTATTTTGAAAAATCAGAATTCTAATTTATATGGTGAATACTTTTGTCTCAATGGGAATTTCAGGAACTCACTCACCAATTATAAATTAGTATTATAGCAAATCATAAAGTAGTTCTAACATATTTTCATCTGGCCAAAGCTGTTGAAGCTATATGTATTTTGTGTATTTTATGTTTTGGCTAGCTATGCAGGTATTTTCTTTGCATGATTAGTTTTTGCCCGAAGGTGTAACAATCATGCAATTTGGAGTTGGTTCGATCTTCCACAACTCAACTAATTCCATGATGAATCTTGCAGAATTGAGAATGAGTAGGTAAATTTGCCAATCTTTTGCCTTAATTTTCTACGAGTTCTAAATTGGATTAAAATTATTGTTGAAAAATTGATGTTGTTGAGATATCTATGTGTTTACTTTAATCGACTTTGTTTTAGAATTAAAACATAAATTTTAAGTTTGGATTCTCTTATTAGGTTTCATTTTAATTTATGACCTAATCTTTAACACATATGTGTCTTCTATCATACACTAAAATAAATTTTGTAGCCATTGGTTTATCTAATCACTTGTCACTTTTATCGATTAATGATGTTGAGATATTGTTCCTTATATACGCCTAATTTTGATACATATAGATTGATTTATTATGTCCAAACCAACTATTTTGTGATTCAACAAATTTGTTTAAGAAATTTTAATGTTTTGGGCATATTAAAGGTTATTTATCTAATGAATGAATCTCTAATTTATTTAAGAAATTTTCGTGTTTTGAACATATTAAAGATTGCAAATTTTCGTGTTTTGAACATATTAAAGTTAATGTATTATGGGCTTCACACTCATCAACTTTGCATGCTTTTATGGTCATAATTTTGGTAGATAAAATGTACATTACCATACTTGTTTATATTTTATTTGTTATATATGCAACTAATTCTTGTAGGAAATCCAAGAAGGGTTAATTAGTATATTCTACTCAAAAGTGTTTTACTTATTAATTCTTGTATGTTGTTCAAGAAATTGAACTTGTGATTTATACGTTATT